AAATCATGTGCTTTGCAGCGACATGGATGTAGCTGGAAGCCATAATCCTAAGCAAATTAATGCAGTAACAGAAAACCAAACACCATACGCTCTCATTTATAAATGGGAGCTAAATGTTGTGCACACACGGACATAAACATGGGAGCAACAGACACTGCAGACAACTTGGGGTTGGAGAGAGGGGGGCATGGGCTGGAAAAGTACCTACTGGGCACTATGCTCAATACCTGGGTCCACCATGTAACAATCCTACACACGTACCCCTGTATCGAAAATAAAAGCTGAAATTTTTTTTTAAAAGTTTAATGAAGGATACAGACAAATAAGCAATAATAATACATTTTGATAAATGCTATAATAAGTAGTGGTTCTCAAATGGGGGCAAATTTGCCCTCCAAAGGACATTTGGCAATGTCTGGAGACATTTTCGGTTGTCACAACTTGGGGAAGGAGGGTAAGCTACTGGAATTGAGCAGGTAGAGGCCAGGAATGCTTCTAAACATCCTACAATGTGCAGAACAGCATCCAAAACAAAGAGCTACGTAGCCCAAAATGTCAATAGCGCCAAGGTTGAAAACCCCTGCTATAAAGGCGTATTAGGGGTACATCAAATCCAGGCAGGGGAGATCAGAGGTTTCCTAGAGGGAGTACCATGTGGGCTAAAACAGGTAAGGCTAGAGAAATATACAGGCAGTGGAGTGGAGAAGAATGTGTATGGCACATACAAAGACTCAGAGGCTGGAGAGAGGATGGGATAATCAGTAGGGTTCTCACCACTACCACTATTTATTGAGAAAATATTTTGTGCCTGCCTGGGTTTGTATAAGATAACCAATATACATTTTAACATGCAGTCCTCATTCACAATCCTACGAGTCACGTATTTCTCCGTTTTACAGATGAGGAAAAACTGGGGCACGGAGAAGTTAAAGTAACTTGTCCAAGGTCACATAGCCAGTGAATGGTGGGGCCAGAAGTTGAATCTAGGTCTGGCTAACTCTAGTAAGCCCATATTCACTCCCTAAACGCTCCTGCCTTTGACAATAGCTGAGTGTACTGCGGGACAGGGTGTGAGAGGAGGAAAGAAGCAGCAGCCTTGGAGGACAAAAGAGAGCCACGTTATGACAGACCACGGGCATGGGAAAGAATGTGGAGACTGTCTTGAAGGCAGTGAACATTCACTGAAGGATTTTAAATCAGAGTCACATGATCAAATGTGTCTTTAAGAAAGATTGCTTCTGGCTGCAGTGTAGGGAGTGGAACGAAGGAGGGAGGCAAGCTAGGAAGAAGTGTAGTAGATAAATCCAGAGATTACTCAGCTTCCATAGGAAAAGTGTTAATGAGGGAAAGAATTCAAGAAAACGTTAGAAACTCAGATCTGTACTTAGTGACTGGTTAAAAGTTACGGGTGAAGGACAGGGTGAAATCCAGTTTTCTGATCAGAGCATGTTAGTGGATAAAAGTGCCATCCAGTAAGATAATACAGAAGGGGCAGCAGATTTGGGAGAGTGAATATGTGAGTTCAATTTGAGATTGTAAAATTTATATTTAAATAGGTAGAAAAGAAGACCAGCCTGGACACAACAGATAAAATGAGAGATAAAAAGAATGCTGAAGAACTAGAGGCAAAAATGAAGACATGGAGCAGATTTAACTTTGACAGGGAGGAAAGAAGAGGGAAGGCTCTAGTCAGAGAGTGTGGTTTCAGAGTTTGAGATCTTAGGGGCACTTCAGTTCATGCGGGAGGTTGGCGTAGATGTAGTAGAGTTAAGGAAGCTGAAGAGTATTAGCGTTTTGTGTATCAACAACATGGAAATTCAAACATTTAAGGATGACAAAAGAGACAGAATGAAGAGGAAAAGGGTCAGATGTTAAAACTTTTAAAAAGGGGCCAGGCGCGGTGGCTCACACCTGTAGTCCCAGCACTTTGGGAGGCCGAGGTGGGTGCATCACCTGAGCTCAGGAGTTCGAGACCAGCCTGGCCAACATGGTGAAACCGCGTCTCTACTAAAAATACAAAATTAGCCGGGCATGGTGGTGCATGCCTGTAGTCCCAGCTACTTGGGAGGCTGAGGTGGGAGAATCACTTGATCCCAGGAGACTGAGGTTACAGTGAGCCGAGATGGTGCCATTGCACTCCAGCCTGGGCTGGAATGAAACTCTGTCCCAAAAAAATGATAATAAAAATAAAACTAAAATAAAATAGAAAGGGTCAAAGAGCACCTTCTCGATTGAGAAATTTTATTGACTAGGGAGAAGAGAGACAACACTGATTTCAAAGAGGAGTGTGATATGGTTTGGATACCTGTCCGCTCCAAATCTCTCATGTTGAAATGTGACTTCCAGTGTTGGAGGTGGGGCCTGGTGGGAGGTGTTTGGGTTATGGGGGTGGATCCATCATGAATGGCTTGGTGCCGTATTAGTTATCCTGAGGTCTGATGGTTAGAAAGAGCCTGGCCCCTCTCCTCTGCGCTCAGTCCTGCTCCCTTGTGAGGCTTGCTCCCCTCTACCTGCTGTCAGAGTGAAAGCTTCCTGAGGCCTTACCAGAAGCATATGTTGGCCCCATGCTTCGTATGCAGCCTGCACAACATGAGCCAAAATAAACCACTTACTTCTCTTTACAAATTACCCAGTTTCCACTCTTTCTTCATAGCAATGCAAAACAGATTAACACAGAGTGGTAGCTTAATTTCAAAGAGGAATAGGACCTGAGAGTAAGTGTCAAAACAAAGCCCTGGAAATGGCAGTCGGGAGTGAAGTAACTGCGGTTTCCTCCGTCACATTCACATGAGATGACTTGACTGACACAAGGGCATTCGCGGAAGGTTTTGAAAGTCATGATATCGAGGGACAGCTAGAGCTCAGAACAAATGAAGAAACAGGAGAGTTTGAGGAAACAATATGGTGGGGAGTTTGGTTATAACTGAACCTAAGTTTCAGAAGGCATGAGGGTCAAATGGGAAGAGTTATGGATGAACTGTATAAAGACAAATGGACATAGCAATGGCTGACAAGAGGCTTAATGCAGAATTGAATAGCCCTAATTTTGTTTTAACTTCTATTTCAGGTTCAGGGATACATGTGAAGGTTTGTTATACAGGTAAACTCATGTCACAGGGGTTTGTTATACAGATTATTTTATCACCCAGGTATTAAGCCCAGTACCCAGTAGTGATCTCTTCTGCTCCTCTCCCTCCCCACACCCTGTATCTTCAAGGAGATGCCACTATCTGTGGTTTCCTACTTTGTGCTCCTAAGTTCTTATCATTTAGCTCCCACTTATTAGTAAGAATATGTAGTATTTGGCTTTCTGTCCCTGCATTAGTTTGCTAAGAATAATTGCTTCTGGTTCCATGCATGTTCCTGCAAAAGATCTGATCTCATTCTTTTTATGGCTACATACTATTCCATGGTGTCTATGTTCCATATTTTCTTTATATAATCTGTCAGTGATGAACATTTAGATTGATTCCGTCAATTTAGGTTGATTTCATCAATTCCATCGTTTACATTTGCTATTGTGAAGGTTGCTGCAATCAACATTCACGTGCATGTGTCTTTGTGGCAGAATGATTTCTATTCCTCTGGGCATATACTCAGTAATGTAGCCCTAATATTTTAATAAAACACTGAGATTAGTATATGGTTTAGACCAGTGCTATCCAACAAAACTTTTCATGATAATGAAAATGCTCTATATCTGCACTGTCCAATATTCGCTACATGTGGCCATTAAGAACTTGAATTGTATGCTAGTGTGTCTAGGGAAAATACATGCAACTTTAACAGATTACGGTGTGGCCCCCAAATACAGTAATGAATCAACAGTAACCTCCTATTCTTCAAACTGCCTTTATTTTTTATTTTTTTATTTTTATTTTTTTTTGAGACGGAGTCTTGCTCTGTCGCCCAGGCTGGAGTGCAGTGGCGGGATCTCGGCTCACTGCAAGCTCCACCTCCCGGGTTCACGCCATTCTCCTGCCTCAGCCTCCCGAGTAGCTGGGACTACAGGCGCCCGCTACCTCGCCCGGCTAGTTTTTTTGTATTTTTTTAGTAGAGACGGGGTTTCACCGTGTTAGCCAGGATGGTCTCGATCTCCTGACCTCATGATCCGCCCATCTCGGCCTCCCAAAGTGCTGGGATTACAGGCTTGAGCCACCGCGCCCGGCCCAAACTGCCTTTAACACCATCTGATCACTAAGTATAAACTGTTATTCTCCTTAGGTATGTTTGAGTTACCTTACAGTAAGTCCAGACTCAAAGATACTACTAAGACCAGGCATGGTAGCTCACGCCTGTAATCTCAGCACTTTGGGAGGACGAGGTGGGCAGATCACCTGAGGTCATGAGTTCGAGACCAGCCTGGCTAACATAGTGAAACTCCATCTCGGCTAAAAATACAAAAATTAGCTGGGCATGATGGCCCATGCCTGTAATCCCAGTTACGTGGGAGGCTGAGGCAGGAGAATCACTTGAACCCAGGAGGCAGAGGTTGCTGTGAACGGAAATCATGCTATTGCACTCCAGCCTGGGCGACAAGGCAAGACTCCATCTCAAAAAAAAAAAAAAAAAGAAAGAAATGCTACTAAATATGTACATATATTATTATCTTTGGTATATTTGGATTTTCTCAAAACTTACCAATTATTGAGGAAAAACATTTGTCTTTAATCATATATGAACATAAACAAACTAATGCCTGGGTGTTAAGATTTTTGCAGCATTGCAAATTATCAGCAAATAAAAAGATTAAGCATATAGGTCTCTCAAAGTATTATACTGTACTATATTCTCTGAACAGTGGTACAACAGTATTTGCAGAGGAATAAGAATTCTCCAAATAGCAAATTTGTTTAATTCAGAAAAGTCAACATTAACAGATTGATAATTCACTTTGTGTGTTTGAAAAACAGAGTTTAGTTACAGAAGAATAACCAAATAAATAGAAGAAAAAAGAAAAAAAAAAAAAGACGTTTTTATTTGCATCTTATTAGACTTGCCTTGGTTTTTTCAAAATTGGCTTCCTCAGATATTTGCAAAACTTGTTTCACCTGTTCATAAGCACTTGCTTCTCTTTGCTGCGTATCTGCCAAGCTGCTCCTTACGGAAACCAGTGCAGACATCAAGTCATCTCTTTCTCTGTCAGCACAAAAAGAACATTCAAAACAAGAAATGATCAAATGATCATGTCTTCATAAGTCAGGGAGGAAAAAGCATTAATATGTATTAGAAGAGCCAGAGTAGGCCGGCTGAGCACATATTAAATAAAGCACACCCCAGAGAAAGACCCTCTGTCCTCACTTGGCGAGCGGCAGGCAGAGCAGCCGGAAAGGCCAAGAGCCTTCGTGGCAGGACTGCATCTGTGTGGGACAATCATCTATTGTGGAGATAGCTGCAGGGGAAAGCCCAGAAAAGAGCAAATTAGTTTTTTAAAAGTTGGGGGGAGGCTCCCTTAAATTTGTATGTTTTACTAGTTTCAAAAGGTTTGGCCATTATAAGACATAGAATGCTGTTTGTGGTCTAATGTCTTTCATTTTTTTTTTTTATTATTATACTTTAAGTTCTAGGGTACATGTGCATAACGTGCAGGTTTGTTACATATGTATACTTGTGCCATGTTGGTGTGCTGCACCCATTAACTCGTCAGCACCCATCAACTCGTCCTTTACATCAGGTATAACTCCCAATGCAATCCCTCCCCCGTCCCCACTCCCCATAATAGGTCCCGGTGTGTGATGTTCCCCTTCCCGAGTCCACGTGATCTCATTGTTCAGTTCCCACCTATGAGTGAGAACATGTGGTGTTTGGTTTTCTGTTCTTGCAATAGTTTGCTGAGAATGATGGTTTCCAGCTGCATCCATGTCCCTACAAAGAACACAAACTCATCCTTTTTCATGGCTGCATAGTATTCCATGGTGTATATGTGCCACATTTTCTTAATCCAGTCTGTCACTGATGGACATTTGGGTTGATTCCAAGTCTTTGCTATTGTGAATAGGGAGTCTTTATAGCATTCTTGCTGTTTTAATAAAAAACCAAGAAAAGTAAATACCTCTCTTCCAATATTTGATGGTTTACAATTTGCTTCTGTTTAATGCTAAATATGTGTGACAGAATTCATCACAATGAATAAATGTTGACCTGGGAAAAAAAAAAAGAAAACTTCCAGGGAGATAATTCACCCTAACTTCCTGATAGTGGTGACTTCTCAGGAGAAAAAAAAGAGGTAATAAATGGGTAGACTAGGGTTTTGTTGTGGGTGCTCTCCTCTGCACTGTAGGTCATTTCACAACATTTCTGACTTCACCCTTTGGTTAATAGTAGTGCCCTTCTCCCCAGTTGTGACAAGCAAAACTGTTTTCAGAAATTTTCCAGTGTCTCTGCGGCAGGGGAGAAAAATTGCTTCTAGTAGAGAACCACTAGAATAGACTGTCTTTAGCATCAGTTCTCAAAAGGAAACAGGAGTGGTGGAGGGTATCAGAAGAGAGATATGAAATAAAATTATAAAATGTATTGCAGCACTATTCACAATAGCAAAGACTGGAACCAACCAAATGCCCATCAATGAGAGACTAGATAAAGAAAATGTGGCACATATGCATGATGGAATACTATGCAGCCATAAAAAAGAATGAGTTCATGTCCTTTGCAGGGCATGGATGAAGCTGGAAACCATCATTCTCAGCAAACTAACACAGGAACAGAAAACCAACCACCACATGTTCTCACTCACAAGTGGGAACTGAACAATGAGAACACATGGATACAGGGAGGGGAATATCACACACCAGGGCCTATTGGGGGGTGGGGGCTGGGGGAGGGATAGCATTAGGAGAAATACCTAATGTAGATGATGGGTTGATGGGTGCAGCAAACCACCATGGCATGTGTTTACCTATGTAATAAGCCTGCACATTCTGCACATGTATCCCAGAACTTACAGTATAAAAAAAATAAAATTATAAAAAAAAAAAGTGGGGGGAGGTGCTGAAAAGGAAAAATGCAGCAAAGTAGGGAAGGTAGAAATTGTAAATCAAAGTAGCAGTCAACATTTTAAGAAAGGACTGAGGCTTTGTCCATGCAGCAGATTCTCCTCTCATTTATTTGAACAAATAAATGTCCTTTCCTTTTTATCTTTCTCCACAATCCTCTTTTTTGTGCTTCTCTTTCAATTACATTCTTTCAGTTACTTATGAACACTTGTTGTTCAATGATTAGTACTGCTGAACTCCTCAAATCTCCTGGTTACGCATATAATATTCACAATTTAACACAATCTTATCCCACTGGGTTTGATCATTGCCAAGACCCACCCCTCTTCAGCAATTCTCAGAAGTACTTTATCCTAAGCTGTTTATTGAGGGTAGAAGTGAACCAAATGCCAAAATGCTCTGGCATGTAAAATAGCAAGGATACAATCTCATAGATTACATAAGTCTCATATAAAATATTCTAGGATATTTGCAATTTATCGACTGAATAAAAATATCCAGTACACCAAAGAGAAAGTGAGGCAGGAAACTTTCAAGACACAAAAAGCAAAAAATGTATGTTGGACTGTTACATATGGTATTCCCCATTTTGTTAAACAGTTGAAGACTAAACCACGGTTTCAAAATCAGTTGAAATAAATGCTTGCAGTTTCCTTTTCATTGCCAAGTTCTTAAACTATGAGAAAAGAGCCAACTATGATTTTTTTTTTAAATTAGCAAGTTTTAAAGAGTCATAGTTTAGAGGATTATAAACTCTGCTTGAATCACTTCCAGGATTAACCAATGATTCAATTTAAAACATCTCTTAAAGGTAAAATAAACTATTTGTGGTATTTGGAAAGCAGCCACATTTGAAGAAACATGTAACACTGAACAAAGTTACAATTATTAGCAGTTTCATAAAAGTCTTTTTTATTTAAAAAAGAATAAATTGCTACAAATATAAAATTCATGGAAGCAGAGTGATCTTCACTTTAGAATTTCCTGATTTGTTTTAAATTGATCAAAGTAATTTTTCTTCCAAGGAAATGAAAAAAGAAGTAAATTGTTTAAATTGAATATAATCAAACACAATTACTATGTAAAAAAGTGGAAGAATCAAGGCAAGATTAAATTATCCCAGTTAAGTAAAAAAATAAACACCAGCAAAATTGAGTATGTATCTATTTATATTTCCATAAAAGTTCGATAACATAAAAGGGGTCTAGCTTCATCAAGGATATGCAATCCAGTTAGGACCTATGATTCTAGAAGAAAAGAAAAATTCACTCTGTAAGGACAGCAAGTCAATATAGGCATCTTACAGTCACCTTTCTTAAATCACTAAGACTTAATGAAGAGCAAAAGTAACTATTCAATGAGATTCTTATCTGTTTCTGATACCATGCAATCACCAAAGCCAAAGTTCCAAAGGAAAAGAATGAACAAAAAAGGCTGGGCGCGGTGGCTCACGCCTGTAATCCCAGCACTTTGGGAGTCCGAGGTGGGCAGATCACTTGAGGGCAGGAGTTCCAAACCAGCCTGACCAACATGCTGAAATTCTGTCTCCATTAAAAATACAAAAATTAGCTGGCTGTGGTAGTGCACACCTGTAGCCCCAGCTACTTGGGAGGCTGAGGCACAAGAATTGCTTGAACCTGGGAGGTGGAAGTTGCAGTGAGCTGAGATCGTGCCATTGCACTCTAGCCTAGGCGACAGAGTGAGACTCCATTTTTTTAAAAAAAAGAACGGTCAAAAAAGCTCCATGTTTGTAAGTATGCAAACAGACAGATCCACAACAGGACAAAAATCTAACAAACCTGCTGCTTATGGGAAACTTATGTCTAATAGATTTTCTCTCTTTTCAGAATATGCTCTTGTCAGGAGTAGTGTTTGTCACACAGTAGATGCTCAACAGAATAAGCAATAAGAAAACAAATAAATGAAGAAAGAGTCTGCTATAGGATGGTGTCAAAAGACGTGGAGTAAAGCTCCCTCTCAGTTCTAATATTTCATGATCTAAACTGAAAACATTACCTATTTTGAATCAGAAACTAGAGTTCAGTTGCTCTGGTTCAAAAGTGTTTCAGAATATTAACTCACCAAATTTAGACTATAGAACCACAGAAAATTATCACAGATAAAACTCCAATATACAGATAGCTTGTTAAGCCCATCATTCGACAGTGAGACCACAAAACGATTACACTCAAACTCCGTGTAACCGCTGGGCTGACACGCTCCACCTTTCTGTAAGGCAAATGCAACGCACGCTTCAAGGTAGCTTTGAGCCCACCTGGGAAGCTTGCAGGTAGGTAGTCATTTTGGCAATTTAGGATTATCTAATCATCCACTCAGGTGTTACTAAATCTTGGTTTTGGTTTGGTTTTGTTTTGACTCAGCCAGTCCACATACCAAATAGCAGCAAGCAACCCCACAAATAATTTTTTTCGAAAGAGCTCTGGGCTGGCAGTCCCCTCTCCTCAACACAAGGCCTTGCTTCCTGCTCCATTCCTGTGTCCATCTGGCTTCATCTTGTCTGAGCTTTCCCTTTTTAGCCCCACACTTATCCCCTGGGTCTGACAGTGCTACTTATCTAGTCTGCCTTTCAGAAACAGCCGATTCCAGCCACCCAGGGTAACTGCCCAGTTAGCTACAGTCCTGCTCCAGATCCCGCAGTCCACAGGGCCGGCCCAGAGCCACACCTGAATGAGGCTCTCACAGTGGGAAGCTGTACAGATACACATGGCATATCAATATGAAAGGGAAAGGGCAGTTCTCCAAATTACCATCTTCCATAGCCAATGTTCTGTGAGTGCTTGTGCTTGGAAACACCTTGTGGATGTGTCGATCAATGTAATCAAGGAGCTTCTTGAAGCAAAGCCTGTAACACCGTGTTAACCCTGCAACGTTCCATGATCCAGATGAAAGAGCAGCTGAGGCAGAAAGATGACGTAAAGATCCCAAGTGTTCTGGGGTGAAAAGCATGCACTTACATGCACTAATGAGCATGTAATATTTAAGAACCTTAGTGCAGCAATCGGGGCCAAAAGGACTGAGAAGGTCCCCTAACAATCTCAGCCAAGTGTTTAAGCAAGAGTTGGTCTAATGTATATGCATGAGCTTCATCTTGAAACGTGGAGTGGCTAAGAAATGTCTTATAATTTC